ATACGCACTGAAATAAAATTCAACTGCGACCAATCCATGGGCGGCGTCTGTATCATGCAACTTTAATCCCATCCATCCTACCACAAGTGCCTAATTTACATATGTCACGACAACTGATAAGCATCGGTAGGCGCATAAAACTTGACCTGAAAATGGGGAAAACCGCCGTTGGGAGCAGGCCACAAGGTGAAACGGACTATAAACTTTATAGTATTTGTATTACCTACAGTTTAAGGCGCGTATAAATTGGTCGCTCGGCGACCCCGTAATGTTGTCAGTATTTCTCTAATGAAACCATTGAAAATATCGACTGACTCATTTGAGGCCGATCCGCTCGCACCAAACAGTCTGCTCTTGGCCGAACCATTATTGTAAACAACGTTCTGTAATGTTTATTTTTGTTGATTGGCTCATGTGGGCTGGTGGTGAATCGAACTTTACTATCGGAATCGCCTGTTCGTAGAAACAGCGAGCACAAGTCGCGGAAATGAAGCCGACACCGCATCCCACAGCCAACACTTTCCTGTTCTTGGGCGATAAAGATGTGTCGCAAATCAGCGGCATTTGGAAGGGTGAGCACCGTACAGGTTTCTCGATGTAACTGCAATTTTTAATGGGTTTTAGCTATACACATTTCCATCTACGTCGCCCTGGCTGTAGTGGCCTTTGTAACTTCCATGGCCGCAGGCAACATGTTTCAAACTTTCAACTACAACTGCGTCTTGTACTGTACGGAGATTCAATTCGAAGTTGTCCAATTGGAGGCTGGGGAAGTCGAAGAGCGCAACGCCACTGTGGGGAACCAATTGGAGAATGCCACGCAGGTTGCTCTCAACTCTGACGCGGAGTGGGGGAATCAATCCAAGAGCCAGGCTCTAAATGGAACGGCCTTCCAGGCCAGCATCGACTTGAGTAAGACTGTCTTCCCGCCCCACTATTGGTGCAACTTCGTCCTGGCCACCGCCTTGATCAGTTTCATCTTCTCCACGTTCTGCGTCGTTCTGCTGGCCATGTGCTCCAAAGGAGGCAAAGGCCACGACAACACGTAAGTCCCCTCAATTTTCAATCTCCTTTTCCCTTCCCCAACTAGTTGGAGAGTTTCAGGTTGAACCGCCCGCAAAACATTGTCTACCCCATCTTGGTGTCCTCCATCATCCTGCTCGTCCTCAACTCAGTGGCTTCTTTAGTGGTCAAGCGGGGCATGCAGCAGTTTTGTGCGACTTTCCAGGACTTCGCCCACCAGGACAGGTACTAAATGTGCGCTAGCTGGGGCTAAAGTCTCACTGCGTTGTTTTCCAGCTGCTCCTCTTCGATCAACCTTTTCACCATTCATGAGAGGCAGCGCGATTTCTACACCCCTTATCTGGTACTGGCCCATGCCTTCAATATCGCGATTATTCTGATCACAGGCCAGTTGGTCCTCACTCTGCTGAGGGTGATTTATGCTGTGGATTATCAACTGTATGCGCTTGAAGCCAGGGAGGATCGCCTCGAACTGGAAGGCGAAATTTTGGAGAGCGAACGCGCCCTTTGAACCTCCTGATGCGCCTTTGCTGCTAAAAAGTTGCTAAATAAACAGACAGTAATTTATCGGTGCGCTGCCGGGGTTTCTCGTTGGGCCACTCGCGGTTTTTGAGACCGAGATTCAGAGCGACACCCTAGAAATGGCGAGTGGCACAACTAGAAACCTGCAGGTTTACAACTCAATTTCGACTGCTTTTAAAACTCTTGTATAATAAACTCCAGGATTGCGAATTAACGCCAACAGTAGGTAGTGTATTAGCTACTCATCGGTAGCGCTCTGAATCCATGTGAAACCTTTCCCTTAAAAAACCCCAAAGTTCTACTAAACAAACGGATCCAGCTTTAAATGTGGGTACCAACAAGATCAGGATGCTGGGTGCGCAAGTGTTTGTTGCGATCGCCCTTTTGCCTAAACTCTTTGCCGCACACGTTACATGGGTAGGGCCGCTCGTCCGTATGGATTCGCTTGTGGTTGTTTAGGGCGTCAGCCCTAAAGAAACGCTTATTGCAAATCTAAAACAACAATTTGACGGGTTAGGAAACGGAGTGGGGTTTGAGCAAATGGCCCTGAGAGGTACGCGACTGGAGGAGGCGCCGTAAGCAAAGCTTCCTTTGAATTGAGGCAATCATATTTTCCCCATTAAGCGCTAGCTTATTTGTCCTGTTACCCCACATACCAGGCATCCATATCGGCGATCATTCGTGTGGATGAGCCGATGTTGATAATACACAGACCCAGTAAGGAAACACTTGTTGCAAACGCTGCACTTGAAAGGGCGCTCCCTAGTGTGCACCTTCCTAATGTGGTCCTTGAGGTCCGGGCGGATCGTGTATCGGGCTTCGCACCCTTCATGCGGACACGCAAACGGCTTGATGCCTAAAACCCCACAGTCTTCCACCAAGGTTCACCTTGAAACCTCTCCAATATTACCTTGATGGAACCGCATATGCTGCCAGAGGTGGGAGGTTTGGGAGTAGCTCCTGCCACAGGTGTCGCAGACGTACGGTTTGAGGCTCTTGTGCGCCCTGCAGTGAATTAGGAGCGCCTTTGCGCTCCCTAACGTCTGTAAATCAGTCAGAATTGGGTGAGCTCGCAAGCAACATTGGAGAGGCGACAAGTACTCACTTGGCCGCACTCCTCGCAACAAAATGTGGCGACATGTTCGCCCGATCGATGCGATTCCAGGCTGGAAATGCTGTTGAAAACCTTGATGCATCGCTCGCATTGATACTTGAAACCTTTATCAGTAGTCAGACAGTGTTTCTTGGCCTTCGAGGCGCTTCGTAGCGGCTTGCGCTTCTTGGGGCGCTTATCGGATCGGTTCCCTTGCTCCTGGCTGGCGCTGAAAGGACTTGATTAATTAAGAAACCCTCCATGTTGCTGAAGGCAAAGTTACCTGCATGAGTTGTCGCTAACTGGCTCAGTTTTAATCTCACTAGCCCCAGCTTCACTGGCATTGTTGATGGAACTAACTGGAACCTCCAGAGTTTTGAGCACATCCTGTATGAGTCGGTTGATGATTTTCTGGCTCTCCACAGTTGTGTGGGGGCGATTGATGGGGCTCTCCTCGTTGAGGGAAATGTGGAGCTTGGGAGTATAGTGCTTCTGCTTGATCTTGTGGTTGTAGAGGATTTCGTGGGACTTGAACGTGCGGTCGCAGTACTCGCAGAAGGAGAGCTTGGGCAGGAAGAACACGTTGGCGAACTCGGTGCAGCGCTTTATCCAATGCGAAGCCGCCAGCGTGTAGGAGTCGAAGACTTGCTCGCAGTTCACGCACTCGTAGTTCTTAGCCGTGGTGTGCTTGCGCTGGTGCATCAGCAGCAGGTTTTTGTCGGAGAAGCTACGGTTGCAGAACTCACATTGCAGGAGGATTTCCGTGGAAATCGTCTCCACGTGCTTGGAGAAGGAGAGCTCGTCGTCCATGGAGAGCAACTGGGCGGCGTCCTGGCAAAGCCGCACGTGATGCTGGGCGTTGTCCACCGAAGAAAACACCTCATGACACTTTTTGCACTTCCACACCGTCACATCGCTGCGGTAGAACTTGGAGATCTTCCCCGCCTTCTTGCAGTGGTTCTCCTTGTGGATGCGCAGCCGATTGTCCGTTACGAAGTGCTTGTTGCAGAACTCGCAGATGCTGTCGTTGCCCAAGTGGCAAGTGGAATGGTGTTTCTCCATGCTGGCTTTAGTGGCAAATCCCTACGGGATGTAGTTAGGATGGTTTATTTGAATTCCGTATACTGTTCAGCGTGTTAATCGGACAATGCGCCCATTTTGAACCAGACCTGGGTAACACTGTGTTGAGTTACGCTTTTGAGTTGTTGCCGCTCTCTGAGTTTATGAGTTATAACTCATGGCCGATGACGGCATTTGAACAGCTAATAAAAAAGTCGTCAACATATGCTTTTGCGCATACGATTGCTTGAAACCATTTGGTTTTAAACGGGAAAATCCGGACATTTTGATGAAACTTAAAACCAGTGGCGGATCCAGCTTTAAAGTCAGG